GGTCAATTTAGCATCATTTGACACATAAAATCAAGTTTCTCGCGAATGAATTCTCCCCTACGTCGCGCGATTCTAAGAGCGTAAGACGCCGAGTTCGAGTGCTGATCGAAAGATTGGATAAGGAATCCATAAGCTCCGACGTAATCTCAGCGTGTTTGAGAGCGCATTGGAATCTCAGAGGACTACCCGACGAAGTGAATTCCCTCCAACGGAGGATGAAAAGCGAGAAAGAGGAGGAGGAGGAGGAAGAGGAAGGGGGGGGGAGAGGGAAAAGGACGGCGAGGGGGGTGAGAAAGGATAAGAGCGGACGAAGAAATCCGACGACGAGTTTCCTACCGACAGATCTGTTTCGATATCTCTTCGCCTCGGCCAATGGCATTGCGACGACCGCGGGCTGTGGATTTTTGCAATTGCATCGACGAATCTCGATCAGTATTATTTAGAGAGCGCCGATGGCGTTATATCGATCGCCGATGCGCCACGCCGTCATTATGGTTACCAGCCCTCCCTCCAGCCCTCTCTTTCTCTCTCTCCTCTTCTTGTATATTATGAGAAACATTCTCTCGATAACTGAGTTACGAATAACATAATTCGAGGCTCAAAAAGGTCTTGAATTAAAATTTCATTCTCTTCTAATTTGAAGAAAACGAGAAATGAAAAATGTAGCTACATATATAAAATGTTTTCTTTTTCGCTTTTTTAAATGTCTTTTCATGTGCTAAAAATCAGCACGCAAACGCGACGTCCACGTAACAAAGAAAAAAAAGAGAGAGAAGTTATGCATAAAATGTACCCGAACCTTCTTTCTAGAAAGACTAGGGAATTCCGGAATTTATCACCGAGGAAAAGTCTAATCTATCATCGTAAAAACTTGAATTATTCCAGATCTTGTAACAGGTAACTCTAAGAGGAAACATTTCTCGCTTTAATAGCGCTAAGAATGATGAAGTATTGCAGTCATCAAGAAATAATGTAATCAATTAACAGTGACATTTTTCTTTCAATATATGAAAGCTAGTCGATGAATTTATATTATATTACTTCTTGAAAAACAAAATTCAACATTATCGCTGTTGACTCGTCGCTATTGACTTGTCAATAACGATAATATATGTCATATTGTGTAGTTTAATAATATATACAATACATATTGCATGCTTGAGAAGGATCAAGTATTAAACGCATCATGGCATGATAATGTTACGATAATATAGCAATTGATGCAAATATTCGCGCATGAAACTATAATCAGCGTATATCAGTCACAATGAGTGAAATGGCGGAAATTATCTTCTCTCGCGACATATTATAATTTAACAAATTCCAGATTTCTATGTCGGACATCTTTTATTGTCGTAGTTAATTAATCAGCGCGTGTCGCAACTATCTTCATTATGACTCGGGCATATTGATAGCACATCAATCACAAATCGTAAATAGAATACGCAACGACTACCGATGATGGCTGGGTTATATCCATCGTTTACGATCGCTCATAATTGATGCCCTATCCCAAGGATTGAAGCTTATGCAATTACGTAGGGAAAACGCGCAGTGGCTTTCAGTAATGATCAATTTAAAATACGTCAATGCGAGAGAAAATCGGGACTATCTTCCAATAACAAATAAAAATCGATAATCTACATGAGAATTAAAGGCAATATGTTAAGAAACAATAACCGTAAAAGAAAATAAAATTTCCGAATGTATCTAACAGCAAAAATTTCTCTCGTTTCTCTCGTTGCTTGTGATGGGAACGATATGTTGCTTGAGACGAGTAATTTTTTTTTTTTTTTTTTAGAAAAGTAACAGAAATCTAAAATTCCAAAATACGCACCGTTATTTCTGCAAATCGATCTGCAGAATTGAATCGAGCCAATTTAAATTAACGTCGGCTACCTCGTAGCGCGCCGACACAGAAAACAACGACACGCATCTTGAGAGACTCGAGACGGAATCAGGAATGCCACCGGTGCGCCAAAGTAAACTACATCACGTCCGACTGCGATTGCGCTCTTCCCTTCTTACGACCCAGTTCACGGTATTGTTTCAAGAACAACAGGAGCTATCGCGAATTATCCGACCGATCAGCTCATTCCATTCGTTTACGCGACCTGCAATCAACCGCGTATCGGATTGCTCTCGCAACGAAGAGCACGAAAACGAATTTTCCTCGCAAAATTTACATTTACATCCATCGTTCCCCTTCGCTTCTGATATACCGAACATGATATCCACATGCATATAATCTGGCATAAATCAAATGTCGCTCAGATTACTAATGTAAAATCTGGTGGGCATACGTTTTTTGAACAGATGCACGGAATCGAAAACACGATAGCGAAAATATTACGGCCATTATTCTAAAGCAGGCTTCATTTCGCAAGCATTGCGAAAACTGGATGAAGCTCGCTTGGCGAATGGAAACCGGAACGTGGCTTCCATTCTTTACTATCACGATCGAAATATCCGGCGTGTTCATTTTATATCAAATATCAAACTTAATCTTCGTGAGGGAGACGTATCCGGAATATTGCACCATTTATTTTCGCAGCTGTAAAGAGTAAATTGTTTACTTGCTTACATTGCATTTGCTGCACAAATGACACTTGGAACGTCTTATGCCAGACGATACATGCAAATATCGTCTTGCGGCGATGAGATTTATTCATAGGCGAGCCGCACATCCGTGCGGCCTTCCGCGTCGGAAGCTCTGTGGCCTCTCCGCATCGTCGCGTCGCATTGCATCGGGTGCAACCACTCGCTGCGAAATTGTTCTAACGAACTTACACTCGCGCGAAAGTTATGTGCTACCCGTATACGCACGCTCCACAAAGAGAGGCTACGCCGACCGCGCTCGTTTGGAGTTTGGCGGCAAAATCCGGCGTCGACTTTCTATCTCTGTTTCCCTCTTCCTCTCTCTCTCTCTTGCTCTCTCTTTGGCGCGTTTCGCCCGTCGCAAACCGACTCCCCAATAAATCCACTCAACATATACAAGGACCAAAGAATGATGAGAACTTCCCATGCCGCAAAATATATAGGGAATAAGAGAATACGAATTGTAAAGCGAGATAAAAAGCGCTCGAATTATTCGGATTGTTTTGCTAAGATTTACTTAATAAATCTCTCAGAACATTATACGAAGTTGCGTAACCATTTCTGAATTTTAAGATTTATGGATTTAATCGTATTCTTCAGCTAATTTTCGGTAGATTTCTGATAAAATGTTTATCTAGAATTTTGTTGCACCAAAATATACTGAATTCAAAGATCGTGAAAGTAATATGTTCGATGACATTTTTATGATTTTCAATTCTCTAACAAAATCGCTTCGAAAATTCGAATTTAAAAAAATTATATTTTATGTTGCTTCATTTGGTAGTCAGGTAAGAAGTGTGTCAATCTCAATAATACTCGTAGATTATCAATTATAGTAAAGGTGAGATGTGCGTCTTGCGGAAATGTGACGCGAGGCACCGCGGTGACGCGTGTGATTATTGGCTCATGTTTCGTGACCGGTACGTTTTTGGCTCGCGAGATCGCACTCGTCGAGACGAGCTGAATGACATCGGTCAGCTGATTCACGATATCGATACTACGATGCGGCAATATTCATTCTTGCGGCAAAATCGGCAGAGCGTATACGCCAAATAGATATTCTTCGCACACAATTAATGACAGCCTCACTGTACTCATGAAAAAGTAATATATCTCTTATGCAAACATGCATTTCGATGCGTACTGATTACTTGTCTTTTGGCTCAACCTGCGATATTCGTTACGAGTTTGCGTGGGAGATGCACGACGATATTAATGACGTCGCTAAGAGCAAACTGCGCTGATGTTTTGCACCGCATTTATAAGTAGGACGTATGATTCATTGGACACGTTTGCTGAAAGCTGCTATTTAGAAAATAATATCAAAGGTCGAATATATAACACACTTTGCAAAACAGATGGATAATTTAGACAATTTTGCTAAAAGTTTAAAAACATTGCATGTGTTAAAAACTGCAAAATAATTAATTTAACAAAATTATTCTTGAGCAGTAAATAAATCTGCGCTAAAATGTATTTGATTGAACGAGAAGTAAATGTACCGTTTTGTGTTCAAATTAATGCAGGATATTTCCTTCTCAATAATTAATATTATAACATATATTACAATATATAATATATATTATATAATATAAAATTCGTTGTATAATTATTTCCTCAGGTATTTCGAATTAATGGCTATCTTCGCTCGAGGGAAGTAGAATGTAATAATTGAAATTACGGCTACACCCACCGGCTGGTCCTGATTGTCCCTCAACATTTCCCCAAGAAACAAAGCGTGCGCGTTGCACTTGTGCACGACTGTCCCGACGGTGGCCCCTTATACTTGTCGGAAACAATAGGCATTATGTGCCGCGGCACACGCGCGACAACGGCTTTTCCCTTCCCCCTCCCCTCTCCCCTTTCGCCAACCCCCCTCTGACTTGTTCGAACTAGTTATAACCGCTGTTCCTACGTGCCGCTGACGAGGAGAGCAACAATTACGTTAATGCATTGTCCCGTGTTCCGGCGCTTAACGACTCGGCGCCCCATCGACGTTTTGCACTCTCGCAGATTGAATTAAATCGAATTACGGGAAGTCGCGCGTTAAAATCATTGTCACGCGAATTGCATTGTCGCAGTTATCCTATGATTCATAGTCTTATCCTAAGTCGAAATTGAGAAATTAAGCATTTCAATTGTACGACGCGACGCGCGACGATGCGCCACGAAACTTCGTTATCAGCGTGAATTGAATTAAACTAAATAAAAACTTTTTATTTTTTGTCGTTTAAGCAGGATTTCTTGCGTCTACGTAATATATCACAAATCTCTTTTAGCTATATTGATCAATTATGCAGCCTATTAAGCCCATTTTTGACGTGAATTCATTGTTTCCCTATGTTAAGAGACCGCGATATTTTTATCTCGAATAAAGATGACAATTAAAATATAAAGATAACTTGCCGGTATCGTTGTCTCCTGGAACCCCGAGACTGTCGCTATTGTCATTGATGAAGGCCTCCGCCGTTGACGTGAAGGTTTGAGGTGATAGCGTAAGGTCCGGCCCGCTCTCACTATCGAACAACTCTAAGTTCCCATTTCCTGAAACACGAAAATAGAATGTTAACATTAGTACAGTTATATCTCTTATCATATGCAACAGACTTATATCATGAACGAAATTAATTTTTGCTTATCTAAATAGAAAATAAAATTAACAATTTATTACAATTATTATAATTAATTGAATAATCAACACAATAATTTTTCATCAGATGTAACTCTTCGCTTAACTGAGAATATTGAAAGACAAGTCTTATTCGATGTAGGTACTAGCAAAGTATTATAAAAAATCTTTCGACCAAACACATTCTGGAATCATCTATATTTGTAGTAGCGATGACGATAACGTGGATTTCAAGAATAAAGCACACACTCGACTCAGAGAACGCAACTGACTGAAGCGCCCGACTTAAAATCTCTCCCGACGCCGATTTCGATTCGTCTCAATGCCAGCTTACGCAATCGTGAGGTTGACAGGTGACCGGCGTTGACAAACGAACAAGATTCTTCGCGCGCTAAAAGTGCGTACCACAAAAATAACTCTCTATAAACGAGTTGTGCATTCCTATGTAAAGTAGCCGGAATTATTCTCACCGAGTTTTTCGCGAATTGTCTGTTAATAGAAATACTTCTATTTCTTGTCTCTCGATGACTTTTACGTGTATTTTTAAATGTTAGTGTTACCGATATAGAAACGTCTAAAAAGACTACAATTTGAGAATGACTAAAATTTAAGATAAACAATCATTAAGAATGTATTACATACCTAAGGAGACATTCATTGACTATATTTTTACTCTACTATCCAACGCGCGACAAAATTACCCGCTACGAGGCTAAACGAAAATTTCTCAGCTGCACAAGAGCAGCGTAGCTTGCATATCTTTCGCATATCTCGCCACTACACGGCAACAACGGCTAGAGCACACTTGAAAGATCTCGCAGACAGTCAAGATCTCTCGAGACTCCGGATGGTTTCCGTGATACAACGAGAACGGCTATGCGCCAAACTTTGTGCATTTTAGGATACCAACCATCCCACTTACATTAAGCGTATTCCGTTTCCCAGTTAATTACATTCTGATCGAAAGCATCGAATCACGCAAGAGAAACATAATAATTATTAAAACAGCCGGATGCGATGAATAAGAAACAAAATAAATCAAGCAAGGAATGCTTCGATCTAAAAAAAAATTTTTCAAAAATGACTTGGTAAAATCGATAAAAAGATATGCGTTCGTATTCGATTCGATGAGGAAATCGAGGATTAACCCGGTTAAGGATCGCCACGATTTTACGACTTATTAAAATTCAATGTGCGCGTTCGGCGGGCGCGTGACGGCGCAAAAGGAGCGCGGGCGTCGCCGGCATCGGGCGTCTTCATCTGCGTTCGATTCGTGCCGACGTGGTAAGTGCGGCGACGTTACGACACACTCGAAGCGCTGCACACGACGACGACGACGACGACGAATGGCTCCGTACCCGTAAATATTTGACGACAATTTGATCTGCACGAGTCGGGACTTAAATCCCCCCGAGGATACGGACGAAAGCGGCTTACGGAAGCTCCCGTCGTCCGTGGCTTTCGACCCGTCCTCTCATCATCGGGCTTACACCATCTCGAGACTCGCGTGCGAAAATATATCTATATATATATACATATATATATCGCGAAATATCGATAGACAACGCGGACGTTGAGCCGCGCGTGTAACATTGTCCAGAGGCTACCAATATATATCCTAATAAGCCTCAATAATAACACGAAATCGCATTCTCCCGGATCAGTCCATTGACGTTGTAGTCAATAGAAACGCCGATAACAATAGTTAGTGTTGCGGGCAAATATCGTTTTCTGGCTGAAACCGGCCAGATTCAGGCTTTATACCGACAGATATTTTGTACACGTCAATAATAATATTGACACGCATTAACCCCCGGTATAATAGTGTTATGACGTTACATAATAACAGCGACGACGTTGTCATAATCACACGCAACTGTTTGTTTGTTGTTAAGCTGAAAAGATAAATCAATTCTTAGACAAAATATTCTCCTTTTCCAGAAATGCATGCCTGCATAAGGTTCAAAAATCGAAAGTACGATAAGTGGCGGATCCAAAATGTGAATATTTAGTTATTATTGTCGTTTATGTTATTTTTGATATTTTTTATTTAAAAAAAAATTGAGTAAACATTATTTAATCTCGAATAGTCTCTGATAATTTTTTTTCTCACTTCATTTAAAACCGACTTTTTCCAATATACGAAATTTGTTTGGAGAGGCAATCGCGACGTGATCAATCGCAACGTGGCCAATTGCAACCCCAATTGAACATTATTTAGTCTCGAATAATCTGATAATTTTTTTTCTCAACTCATTTAAAACGGATTTTTCCCAATATACAAAATTTGTTTAGAGAGCTCTAAAGGGGGGGACGATCATCCCCTCCGCCTTCCCCTTGTATCCGCCACTGGGTACGATTGTTTCGCCGTTGCACGAGCGCGGTCGATAAGGACCGCACTTATTGCATCCAAAGCGCCACTCGTTTGTCCCTGCATTAATACGATTTGTTCCTGGTGCATTTCACTACCCCAAGAGACAGATTAACTCGCTGAGGGAGACAAGGAGGATATTCCGATAGCACGTTCGGCCGCGTCGCGCGCCTCGCCGTTTCCGCTCTCCCTCGTTCTCCACTTACGTCGTTAAAGTGCGCATCCGACTGCATCGCTGGAACGGTGATGGCCAAGGGACCGAGGAGGAAGGGGGGGACGACAGAGGGAGGGAGAGAGAGGGAGCGAGCGAGGAAGAGAAAGCGCATTAACATACCTGCAATATGCATGCGAGGTGGTGCACTCGTCCGATTCGACGTTGCTGCGCGTGCGGGGGCTTACACAGGAATATTCGCGTTAATTCAAAGCGATGGTATGCGCCCGCCGCGGATTAATATATTCCGGATTATCCGTCTGTGTTTGCGTTAATGCTCGCGCCGTTGGGTTAGTTAAATATGTAAATATAAGCGGCGTGCGCGCGCGGCTACGCCGGACGTTACCCCTGGTTACAACGTCGACGTGCGACGGAATGACGAATAAGGGTGATAGTGACCGTGCGCGTGAAAAATACACGACGTGGCGAAGGTTCGGATATCGATGTAAATTATTGCATTAAAAGTCTCGCGTATACATTCCCTCGAAAATATCCATCTACATGAATTGAAAAATCTCCAACTTTTTTTTTTTGAGACTCGAAAACCGCGTCGGAGAATGAAAACACGCGCAATTTTTTAATTAGATATTAATGCGGCATATTTTTACTTGCAAATAATATGTTAAAATGCGATTCAGAAAATAAACACGTAGTTAATATGATCCTTTTAGAACAGAATAAAACCGTGCGCAACTGTACATGGAATGGACGGAGCTTATGTTACAGTTTCGAATTAAATTTTTGTTCCCTCTCTCGCACACGTATTAATCATCGTAGCGATACATTTATCTTCGAAGAACGAGAGTATTAAGCCTTCTGCAAGTAATAAAGGAAGGATTACGTGGTACGTAATGGAAAATGTCGGTTGCGCAACATCTTTCGGGAAAAAACGGTAACAAAAGAAAAATGCAATTCTCTCTCTCTCCCTCTTTCTCGGCGCCATTATTAACATCAACCCAGCCGCCCGGTTGTTGCTTGTGTATCAGAGTAATATTCATTATGAATACGTTTCGCAGTTAACGCCGCAATACGCCGCGCTTGGAGCAATTCTCATGATTAACTCAAGTTACATCTAAATGTCGAGGAAGATAACCATGTGTAACGTTGTCCTGTAAAAAAAAATTTCCCGGGCAACATCGCTATTCCAGGATAGGATACGGAAATAACAAAGAAATTTATTTAACCGAAGCTGAGCGCTAAACGACGTTGCTACAGTCGAGGAGTAAAGAGCTATTCGCGCGTGGCGAAAATGCGGCGGAACGAGGACGGGGAGAGAGCTGCGCGACGTTGATCGCTGCCGGTGCGAGAAAGGAGCGAAAGGGAAGGAACGAGGAAAGAAGGGAGAGAGCTTTAGACGCGGGGAGGCTGAAAACCCGGGCGGCGCAACCGGGTTTATTCACAGCGCGCGCGAACGAACCCGACGAAGCCCAGATATTAATTTTCTCGATGTATATGGATGAGTACTGACTAGGCCACGTTACGAGGGGGGAAAGCGGGAGGAAGACGGACGAAGGTGGAAGGCTTGGCAGGAGGAAGGAAGCAGCGGCGGTGATGGTGGACGTACCTGCGTAACGATGGGGGGCGGGCGAGGGAGAACGGGGGATGATGCGGCGACGGCGGCGGCGGCTGTGCACCACCGCCGTCGCCGCCGGGAGGTGTTCGTTCAGAACGGCGAAGGGTGGCTAAATTGCTATCGATCTTCCAGCCACGTAAATATCGTTTACCTTGCAGCACCCATCTCCGAGCCTTTCACATCTCCCTCCCCCTCCCCATCGCCCTCCTCTCGTACGTCCTCCCTTCGCGTTCTCGCCCCACGCTGTCGACGCATTACGCGAATATGCGTTATCAGTTTGATGGAGATCCCCGGCTTTTCGTATCACCGATTCTGATAGCTCGACCGGTCGATCGGTTAATCCCTCGCATTCGCGTATCTTCCAGCGTGCCAAAATTCGGCGCCCCGATATCGAATCGAGCCGTTTTTAATGCTCGATTCTCTCGCATCGCTGCGAAAGTCTCGCGCGAGCTCGACATGTTACACCTCGTACAATGTAAACGTATCGAATGTCGAATGATAGAATATTTCCTGGAAAATATTCGGGAAAGAGAAAATTGGAGAAAGAGATGTACGCGTAATCGTTTAATAACTGCTCGAGGATAATAATACCGCACGCGAAAAAAAGCAGTTTGTCAGTTCTTCATTTGAGTTGTACATACGTTGCTAATGACACAAATTGGAATAATAATGATAATAATTGCAAAATGATGCCACTCAAGAGCGCAGGAAATTGGTGTACGGTAATTCCGAATCCACGTGCGTCTATCCGAGGATTGCT